TGGGAGGGTGTTGAGGGTCTGGTCTGGAATTCCCAGAGAAGCTGTGGCTGCCCCTGGATCCCTGGGAGTGTCCAAGGCCAGGCTGGGATGGGTCTTGGATCAACCTGGGCTAGTGGGAGGTGTTCCTGCCTATGGCAGTGGGTGGGATGAGATGATCTTTAAGTCCCTTCCAACCCAACCCAGTCTGGGATTCCATGATTACGGATGGAGTTTCCACCTTGGGTTCTTGTAATTTCTCTGGCTTTTCTCTATTTTCCTCTCTTGGTCTTCAGTCAGAAATAATTCTGCTTTTCTTGGTCTGCAGTGAAGTTGTTTTTACCTCTTGTGTTTGAGCATCCTGGAATCCCTGAATGGTTTGGGTTGGAAAGGGCCTTAAAGCTCGTCCTATTCCATGAGCAGGGACATCTTCCACTATCCCAGGTTGTTCCAAACCTCATCCGACCTGGCCTTGGACGCTCCCAGGGATGGGGCAGCCACAGCTCCCACTATCCCAAGTTCCTCATCTCGAAGCCGCTCCTCTCAGAGCTCAAGGAATTTGCTTTCCAACCTACCAGCCCACTTGGATAAAGACTATTCCCTCCTCCCATCCTCCCTGTCATGCCATTCCCGCGGGATACGTGGCCGGATTTCTGTTGTTTTTAAAGATGGAGCTCAGGCAAATCCATCATGTCCGTTATCCTGACAGGATACTGAGGGCTTAGAGGGATTTGGAGGAATGAAGCGTGAGATGGATAAAACTCTGGGAGTTTTTTTAAACAGGGGGATGTTTGACGTGACAAAAGAGCCCAGGACAACGTGTCCCCCATTCCATTGGTTTTCCAAACAGATCCCAGCAGCAGAGGGTTGTCGTTTACCCCTAACGAGGTCGGTCGGTTCTGCCCCGGGGCCTCGCGTTCCATCCTCCTGTTCCAACAGCCCTTCCTCGGGGCTGGAGAGGGGGAATGAGGGATAAATCCATGTTCCACGGTAAGGCTGTGTCTGGAGGGGGGGAAACGCAGAGCTTTTCCTAGGGATGGGGGCAGGATTCTATTCTGGGAAGCAGCGAAATATCCAGAAAACGTTCCGGAGCCGAGCGGCGGCGGCGGGAGCTGCGCGTGTGATTCAGCGGCCAAATTACCCTGGAGTGTATAAATAGGGGAAAATTGGATGGGAATAGGCAGATGACATTCCAGCTGGATGCAGGTGCGAGGCTCTGTGGGCTGTTTTTGGTAGCAAAAGGCGACAGAAATTGGAGATGGTGCTAAGAAAAGGTATGGGAGTGATGTAAGCACGGGAATAGGGGAATGTGGAGATGGCAGGGTTTGGAACAAGGTGAGCTTTGAGGTCCCTTTCTACCCAAACCATTCTGGGATTTTCTGGGGTTCTGGGATAAAGGATACGCAGGTTAGAATCCATTTAGAGGGATTTTTATGGAAGTCAGGGATGGAAAAGGCAGGAAAGGGGAAGAGGACCTTTCCCTGAGTCCCAAGATTCCCAGGGAACCCCCTTGTTCCCTGAACTCCTTCCCAGAGAAGAGTTGGGGTGTGGATGGATCCAATGTCAGGTTCTGGATCCAGGCTGGGAGAGCTGGGGGTGTTCACCTGGAGAAGAGAATGATCCAGGAAGACCTTGGAGCCCCTTCCAGAGCCTAAAGGGGCTCCATGAGAGCTGGAGAGGGACTTGGGACAAGGGCTGGAGGGACAGGACACAGGGAATTCCCATTGCCAGAGGGCAGGGAGAGATGAGAGATTGGGAAAGAATTGCTGGCTGGGAGGGTGGGGAGGGGCTGGACTGGAATTCCTAGAGAAGCTGTGGCTGCCCCTGGATCCCTGGAATTGTCCAAAGCGAGGTTGGATGGGTCTTGGAGCAACCTGGGATCATGGGAGGTGTTGCGGTTGGAACGGGATGATCTTTAAGGTCCCTTCCCACCCAAACCATTCCAGGATTCCATGATTCAAACACTTCCTGCACTGAACTGTTCCCTCTAGGAAGGGCAGTTTTCCTTTCCTTTGTCTCTGCTGACTCTTTCCACGGAGATCTTGCCAGTTTGATTAAACCCCCATAAATCCTCGTGTGTCCTGATGTAAATCCAATATTTAGGAGATAACTTTTCATCCCATATTTGCCTCTGAATTCCCTTTGATATCTCCCCTCGACTCGGGCAGGGAAGGAGGTGCCGGTTGAGCACTGGAAAAACGTGGGAACTCGCTGGAAAACGGGTTTTCCTTACAAATTTAGGATTCCATCCTGTTGTGTAACGAATCTTTGTGCTGAGCAACAACCATCAATTCCCCTTTGACGGGCCCTGCTTGGGAACTCCTTCCGGAAAACGGCAGCTTATGGAAACCTGGAGAAGCTTTTCCTTGGTGGCCACTCCCGATATTCTGGATTTGGCCTCTGAACTCCTCAAATATCTTCCCTGGGGTGTTTGGTTTTAAAGGAAATGGAATTTCCCCCTTTTGCAAATCGAGGAAATGAATGTTTAAAGTTTGGAATTGGAGAAAAGGCAGCAGGAAAGTCCATTTTCTCCTCCATTTTTCAGTTGTGTTGTCAGAATCCCCTTCCCTGGAAGGTTTGCTGTTACACACATCCATCTTTTTTCTTGGAAACGTTGCTTTATCAGCTTGGACTTGGCCTTTATTTTGCTTTTCTAGATCTTTTTAAGCCCCATTTCTCTTTCCAGCAGAGGACTGCTGGATTTAATTTATAATTTTGCCATTAAAAATCCCGTTGGTGCCCTTGGGAGTTGTTGCGTTTTAGGGTCCGTTGGTGCCCATTAAATCCAGCATTTTATATCCTGGCCATAAATTTACTTGGGAGGGGGTGATATTATTATTTTTGTCAGGATTTCCCCCCTGATTGGAGGTGTTAATACGAGCACAAGATTATTATTACCCCTTTTCCACAAGGGGTAAGTTCCCTGCTGCCTTTTTTCCCCCCCCAAAGCCAAAATTTCTCCGGAACTCTTGCAAATCACGTCTTCCAAAGTGGGTGTTTTGTAGCCTGTTAATGAATCACACTTTGGCAGTGTTTGCCCTGACGTGATAAACAATTGTTCTCTTGGCCTGTCAGATTATTGAACCACAAAGTTGGAGATGTTTTTACGTGGTTTTTGTTCTTTTTTTCCTTCTTTTTAAGATGCTTTTTGTTGTTGTTGTTGTTGTTGACAGCCATTGCAGCCTGCCCCCCAAATGTAGATTTTAACAGTCTGAAGTGAGTTAATATTATTTTTTAGTGAATCTGAGCCCACTTGGGGTTTTTTGCTGGTTTTTTAGGGCTTTTTGGTTTTTTTTGATGCAATTCTGCTCCATCGCGTCCTAAGGTAGGTAGTGCAGCTTTATTTTGCCTCAGAACTTTCCAGCCATCCAGAGCTGCAAATGGGATGATGAATCTTCAGAGGCACCTAATAAAGAGCTGAACTTAGTCATCCTTGTGATTTTGGTGTGCAATATCCTGTCAGGGATGGGCAGAACATCCCTCTCTCACTCAAGGTGTCCTCTTTTCAGCAACATTTAATATTCATTCCCAGATCATCATTTGGGACCATTAATGAGACTGATATTCCTCTCAGACTGGGGCTGTTAATCCTGGTTTGGGACTTATCCAGATTACCTCTGCAGTTTCCAAAGGAGAAGTTCCCTTTTCCTGCTGGAAATCTTCCCTCCTGTGCTGCAGTCCTGTTACACAACCACCTTCTCCCTCAGGAAAGGTGCTCCAGGGAAGTGATTCCGGTGTGGAATCCTTCCTGGAGGTCACGTGGATCGATGGTTTACTTTGGTTCAAAGGCTGTTTGGATTCCTTTTTCCCTTTATTTTACTCTCTCCCAGGTCACCAACTCACCATTTGTCATCAGGAGGGGAGGTTTTCTCCTACCTGGAGTAATTAGTCTTTGTTAGAGCTCCGGTGATAAATGGCAGAGGAGGGGGAAAAAGGGAAACAACGAGTTTTGTTTTGGCGTCAGACTCTTCCAGTGAAGTTGGGAACACGCCGGTCGCTCCCAAAGGGAAGGGATTTGTGGGATTTTTCATGGCAAACCTTGTCCATCTCGTGTCCATCCTCCAGGCTGCCACAGTCCAGTTCTTTGTCACACAGAGCAAACCCCCAGACTTGTATTAATATATTTGTGAATCACTTCACCCAGGCGTTGCCATGAGATAAAGGGAATTCTAACCTGGGAACGACGTAGAAACTCTCCCCTGGGAGATGCTGGAAACCCTCCTGAAGTTGCCTGTGAAAGCTTCCCGGTTTGAAGAGAGGATTGGTTTGGATTTTTCCAGGTATTCTGAGCGCAGCCTGACCAAGTGTGTGGGGATAACGATCGAGACGAGGCCGGATTATTGCCTGAAGAGGCACCTCAGCGACATGTTGTCCTACGGCTGCACGAGGCTGGAGATCGGGGTGCAGAGCGTCTATGAGGACGTGGCCCGGGACACCAACAGGTGAGGGCAGAGGGACGTGGAATCCTGGAATGCTTTGGGTGGGAAGGGACTTAAAGCTCGTCCAGTTCCAACCCCGACACTTCCCACTAGCCCAGGTTGCTCCAAGGGAATCCAACCCAGCCTTGGACACTCCCAGGGATCCAGGGGCAGCCACAGCTTCTCTGGGAATCCCAGCCCAGCCCCTCAACACCCTCACAGACAAGAATTCCTTCCCAGTCTCCCACCCAAATATCCCCTTTTCCAGTGGGAAGCCATTCCCTGTGTCCTGTCCCTCCAGCCCTTGTCCCCAGTCCCTCTCCAGCTCTCCTGGAGCCCCTTTAGGCTCTGGAAGGGGTTCCAAGGTCTCCCTGGATCCTTCTCTTCTCCAGGTGAACACCCC